TTTGTACGTATAATACATACAGGCATGTATGTAGATGTGAGTGAAAATATTAGTATGTCATTATGTATATACTGTATATTTGTGCAGTTGTTGGTGGGTGTGGAGGTGTGGATGTTGGGGGGGTGTCTTGTGGTCTTATTGAGTATATTTCGTACATTTTTAGTTTCAGTTCTTTTCACTTTTCTTATTTTCTTTCTTATCTTCTCGCTTAATTAAAAAAGTCACTGATGTTGAAGAAATAAATAAACTAAATAAACTAATAATGTTTGGTTTCGTTTTCTACTGAAGTGACACCAAAAAAGTAAACAATCCTAATATATATTTTTCAAAAAATGCATATTAAGGATGTAGTTTTCAAAATAATGTTAATATTTAGATTATGTTGCATTAAATGTGTCATGTTTAAAATCAGTGATTTTTTATGTCCTTCCTGTATCTGTTTAGTTTCAAAACCAGGTTTATTTTAATCTATTTAACAGAATGGGTATWAGTGGAATTATTCAATATTTCATGTTTTATTTAAACATATCCTGTTGATGTTTGTTTATTCTTTAAATTTCAGATGCATCAGAGTCAAAAAGCCTAAATTGTGATCAACAAAACAACATGACAGACACARCAGCAGCAAATAAACCCTGTGCTGTTGTGATATTTTCTTCTAAAGCTAACGCTGTGGAAAGCRTAAATTGGTACAGTTGTGTTTTACATGAATGTGAAAAACTGACATTTAACTTCACCCTGAACAACGCTCAGTCTGACAGTAAAAGCCAAAAATCGGATGATCATCTACAAAAATGCATCAGTGCACACCATATAGAAAAGAAAGTCTGCCCATCTTTCTCTACTGCAAATGTTACGGTCACAGGTATGAAAAAACATCTAAATTTGTTTTTTCCTTTAATGTTGCTCAGAGTTTTAGACATACAGACTAAATATCACTCTTTTTCATTGGTGCCTGTAGTTTTCAAACAAAACCCAGTGATGATTCTTAATTTGACGGAGGGAAACCAGGCCAGCCTGACCTGCACAGCTCCTACTTTCTGCTTTGGCACTAAACCTCAGTTCACCTGGGTGTGGAAAAGACCAGGATGTAATGACACTGAGGTCACAGAAGAAATGAGAGAGTTTACAGTTGAGAATGTCGCGGGACAGACCCACACCTCAACTCTGACCTTCAGTGTCTCGGCTCAACATCACAACACCAACCTCACCTGTAGAGTCATGTTCGCTGGTGACACAGCCAAAGAAGGGACGAGCTATCTCAAAGTGATGAGTAAGTAGTGAACAAGCTTTCTTTTGTTAAATCCCACAAGTATTTGTGTCACAAGTTGTAAACCTCCTAGTACCTGGTGACACAAATGTGGACAAAAATGCATTGCAATGCAAGAGTTTGGAAAGGAAAAGCAGTGGTGGGCAGCACTAATCTAAAAATTAGTTCCACTAGCCCAAAAACACTAACTCAAATATTTAGGTCCCCTGGGCCTCATGCAAGAACATGTTCATATTCTTATCCTAAATTTCTCTTACTTTTGTTC